TTCACAATGCTTACATCAGCAGAGGATATAAAGAAGTGTATGGGAAATGAGAGCAGAGTGGATAATTTGTCCAGCAGGAAAAGTGTGATGGTCTACGGTAACGTGCAGAGGAAAGGAAGAAAGTGTGTTAAGCAGGGGAAGATCCTGTGGGAACCATAGAGGAGAAGTCAGCAGTCCTGAGATGACTCACCGTGACTACTTGTGTTTGGATTGTACACTCTGAGAGCCCCTGAGAGTGGCATGAAGCCAGCCTGGGGAGGAACGCAAGAGCTAATTTTTCTCACAATAAGGAAAGGGAACACTGTAAATGCTGAAGTTAAGGCATTGATCTATTTTCCATTCTCTGTGAGAAACTTGCACTGTTAACACTTTGAATACCTTGGCTGCAGTCACAGAAATAGTAAGTTCTTCAAAAGCGTGCATTCTTACCTACGGCTCTCTACTTCTTCTCCGCTGACTTTTCTCTGTTGACCCCTATTCATTCTCTTGATGGTATTATGATGTGGATAATTATTCACTGCTTCCAAGACATTTTTACGTTGGTAGAAGAATTGTAGAAAATAGATGGGTTCTGATAAACACAAAGACAAGACATGACTGGAAAAGCCACCAGGCCTTGAGAATAAACCGGGAAGACCCAGGACAGATGAGTGTAGTGTGTGGGTGGAGAGCCTGTGATGAGCCACTGCCATGGTGAGGAAAACCAGAAGAATATGGCACCTAGGAGTGCCCTGTGGGAGTGTTAAGTACCCCTGGTAGGTCAAGGATGATGGGGAGCGTTAGCAAAGTGGGAAACAGCAACTTTTAATGAATGGTTGTGATGGACTAGAGAGGAGAAATATTTGATAAGATTGTTTTCTAAAGCTGATAGAAGACTTAAAGATATCAACTCTAACTGTTAAAAAGAAATGATATTGAAGAAAAATTTAAACACAATAAAATTAAGCACAATCTATCAGACTATCTATTTCAATGACTAGTCTGGACATGGTGAACACTGGTAACCTTAGGTACTTGGGAGCTTGAGGCAGGATTGCAAGCTCAAGCCTGGGCGAATTAGTGACTCAGTGATGCCCTATCTCAAAACTCAAAGATAAAAAGAGGCTGAGGGGTCCAGGATTTAGCTCAGTGGTTCTGCCACCTGCCTCACAAGCTTGAGGTCCCAAGTTCAATCCCTGGTACCAAAACAAACAAACACAAAAAAAATAAACAACAACAACAAAACCCCTACATCTATCAACAAAATCCAACTTGCTAAGTAAAATAAATTTGGTAAAAAGTAAAGCTTACTAAGAAAAAGATATAAACTTTAGGCATCTAACAATAAGCTTTAAGTATGTAAAGCAAAGCTACTGAGAGAAAAATAAGGAGAAAATCTTATGACTATAATCAATATATGAAGCTAATATCACTTAAAAATTAAAATTAAGGTGAAAAATTACACTAAAGTAAGTATTTTTAAATAATTAGAATCTGTTTCTTTTAAATTCCATGAAAAATTTACATATTTCTCATGGTTGAGTGACATGAATTGCAGTTGAAGATAATATTAAAAACTCCACTTGGAAATTGTAACAATTACAACAAAATGATAGCAACGACAATCTTAATTAAACTGTGTATGTTCAAGAAGGCAGCGGAGATGTGACATAATAGGAAAGAAATGAAAAACAGAGCAATAGGCTCTAAGAGAGCTTTGGCCATGTAGAGCACAGGTCTGAAAGCAAGAATTTACCGGCCCTTAGATGCCACTGTGGAGGTGTACAGGTCTACAAGCCGTGACTTTAGATTTGTCACATAGGTGTACCAAATACTCACAATGAGTTTGAACTTCATATGAGGTAAACATGACTGATGACGATGACGATAACCACTGTGGTGGTGGTGATGATGATGAAATGGGCACAAGGGGATTCTGAGATGGAGGGATACAGTTGGGGGAGGGAGGAGGATTTAAAGAGAATCAAGTTGTGCTATGTAGGGACACCTGCTCTCTAGGCACATGTAAACTTCATGTTCTGCAAACACATACTAACAAAATAAAACAAAACCAAATCATAAATTCAGCAGCAACACTACCAACTCCAACATCTGTCACTAGAGGGAGGAACTGCTTGCTATTGTTGCCATCCTTTTTGTCCTCAGGTCCTTGCATAACCAACTTTGTCTGAAATGTCTTCTGCTGGCAGTATGCTAAGTGTATCATTCCTGTCTGTGTCCTGCCATGGTCATCCTCTGATCCAGACTGAAAATTCTGAGAAGCTGGTGGAGGGAAGACAAGTTCCTTTTGAGAGCAGAATGGCTCACCCCAGCCTTCTAAGGAGCCCTGCATTCTAACCCTGCACAAGCTCATGGGAGTGATGAGGTGAAGGTCATTGGACAGATTTTTAGGTCTCCATGAATAAATCTGCTTTAAGAGACTTTGATATTCTGCAATTAGCTTTTTTCTGTTTCCCTAGTGAAGCAGAATATAGCTTAGAGTCAGTAAATTGAATAATCAAAAATTAAGAAACTATATTTCTTTTATTCCTGTTCTAGTTTGCTACAATTCACACCTTCTAAAATATTTATTATAAAAATAAAACTATTGAACACCCATGAATGTTCTACTGCTTCAAAATCAAAGAACTTCTAAGTGTAAAGTAATTCTGTAAGGATTAAAATCAGTGGAAAAAGAAGAACATATAAATATAAATTATATCATCATGGCAGTTTTGTTGGCCTTTATAAGATATCTTGATATTTATAGAAATTTTGAGCCAAATCATGAAAACAGAATGATTAGTCAGTAATATTGTGGCATCAATAACTTTGAGTCTTGGTATTACAAATATTAAAATGAATCTTGGACTACAGGACTTTTGACAATAGGTACAAAGAGGTGTTGTCACTTTGAAGAATACTCTATAGTAGATCTTCACAAAAGAGGGAATACTATGAAAACTTTTAATAGTTGTTTACCATTTGGGCTGGTGGTGTCTGGAAGGTATTTTCAAAGCACACATTCCCTGGGAAAATTAAAACTGCTTACCATTTAATGTTTCTCAGAGTAACAAGATAGAGCCCACTGCCAGCAAATTTCATACCATTTCATAGATGATCTATTCACTTACAATGCTTATAAAGTGTTCTTTGTGCTTAGAATTTAAAAGTGGCATCACAGATCATAGTTTCAGTGTAATGTTTGAAGTTTCTACCATATTGATTCCTTTCTTGAAGAATTTAGGTATACAAACTCCCTTTATTTTATGTGCTTGGATGTTTTATTGTTGCCTGTTATAAGTCTGTAATCCAAATACAACATTGAAGAGCTTCTGTTTGCTTTTTATTGGTGTAGTATGGGAGTTATCCTACAGTATTTCAATTTATTTTGCTTCACCATTCAAATCTGTCTTCATAGACCCACTACATCATGCCACAGAAAAATATCAAAGTTTTTTTCTATGCCCTTTGACTCCAGAAGAAAATGAAATCTCAAGAGCTTGCCTTTCAAACTCTTAAAAATCTTGGATTTCCCTTATTGCCTCAGACCCTCAGATGCCCTGTCACACAGCTACTTTTAGTCCCTCATTTTGTGATTTCCATCAGACTGTGAGGATTTTGAAAGAATTTCTGCTGCTTGGTCAAACTTTGACTTCTAATTAAATTTCAAATTTACCTTTCGAACTCCTTGAAGCCCATTATCACTTCCTCTATGTGGCACCCCCTCTCTTTTGGGAAGTGTGTACTTCTACCCAGCCTTCAGTGTCTATTTGACTTTTATATACAAAGCATTGAACATGTTCTGTAGCTGTCAATGTGTAGCACAATACTTTCAGAAACATGCTTTAGTCTCATTTTCAAAACCCCTATACTAGGTGGCAATCTCCTGTCGGCAAAGTAGCCATGTGCAGGTGTTCCAATCATTGGCTCTGCTGTGAATATGAATCTTGAAGATAATTTAAGTGGTTGTTTCTCACACACCAAATCCTACTGAGAAAAGAAATTAAAAACCTATGTTCACAATACAACTAGAAGGAAGAATGTACAAACTATGCTGTTGTTAGAAAAATTTAGTTATCTAGCTTTATTTTGAGGAAGACCACTGAGTCCCAGGTGGTTTTCCAGGCAGCTGTGCTACCAAAGGTGGGGTGCCAGGGGTCCTCTCCAGGTTCCTTGTCCTGTTCAAAGAACTGGACAGGACTGTGGGAGGAGGTAGAGATTTTACATTTATTGAAGTTAAAAGAAAGGCTTTTACATTAAAAAGTAGGGAGAAAAGAAGTGTTTAAAGCACAAGGAATGTCCTAAAGAGAAGTATGGGAAAAGAAAATATGCCCTGTGTACCCAGTTGGTCACTGAGAGTAAAAGAGAACAGTAGCCTGAAGACAGTGGCCACAGCCTCTCCTATTTCCATTCTGAAGCCAGGCCCAGGTGTCCTCTGCAGGGCTGTGAGCTGTTCTGCACATGTGTCAGGCTATGATTGACAAGTCACACTCAGCGGCCCAGCTGATTTGCCATGCCCTAATCTCCAGCCGCAGTGGTATTACAGTAGAGATAGAGACAGAGAGAGAGAGAGTTTAGAGAGAGAGAGAGAGAGAGAGAGAGAGAGAGAGCCTACCACAGTGCTCTGTAGATTGTAGTAGGAATAAAGAAAATAAAGACATAAAACAGATTCTGAACAGAGGGATATTAGGAGTAAAGTCCGAATTAGAGAGTCACAGACTTGGAAAATCTATCATAAATCACTCCCTAAAAACATGTTCTGACAATGAGTAAAGAAAAAAGTTTACGAAATTGAATGGAAAGCTGAAAAGTCACCAGTATGGAGGTGAAGTCTGTCTATACAAGAAGAAGGGGAATCCCAACACTTTAGGGTACAGACAGCAGGACTGAAGGGAAGTATAGAAGAGACTTGGAGAAGCCAAACCTCATAGGCTTTTTAAATTCTAGAATCAATGTGAAGTCAGTAAACAATTTAAGAAGAAGATGGTAAATGTATAGCAAATATAAAAACAATTAAAGACAATATTACATTATAGGGACCAAAGAAAAATGTTACAGAAAGCTGAGTGATAGCCTCCTGGTGCTGGCTTAGTCAGTCTCTCTTGTATGAACAGTGACCTACTGCAAGTAAATAAATAATAAATGAGAAAGAGACAACAGCGGACCAGAAGATGGATGTAACAGCAGCGTGTGCATGGAGGAACATGGAAAATGTAGGCACAATCCCAAAGGCTAGAAATAGAGCCAAAGCAACAAAACGTGGAGAAAAATGTCCCACCCTAATCATGCCAGCGGGATCTAAAAGCGTTCGTGCCCTGGGAAACCGACACTGAGCACAGCTGCTGTCTTGCCTGCCTCACCCCCAGTTATAGCCTGAACAACAGTGAGGTGTGGTCAGACCCATTTTCATCCAGGCAATCAGCTGACTGCTGAAGAAACAACCAGGAATTTAGAGCCTGGCCAGTAGAAGGAGAAATGTAATGAGAAGTAAGACAGGGAAAAAATAAAGTGCGAGTCCGAGTGCTAGAAAATGTCAACTGCCTAACATACAGACAACTGATACCTGGATGCAAAATACAGAGCCAATGATGCAAAGAAACAGGGAAAAGATTATTGCCAAGACTTCCAAGATCAGTAATACGACTCCAGAAGCTCAGGAAAACCAGGCCAAAAACCAAATCTGAGCAACTTACAAGACACCCAGAAGAAGGAAACTGTGGCACTCGAGAGGGTTTTGCACTACAGGAAGGAGGCAGACTCCTATCAGATGCTCCGTCATTCAGAAGACCGCAGATGCTCGCTCTGAATTCTGGGGTCTCCTTTCCTATCTCCCTGCCGCCTTCCCTCCCTCCTTCCCTTCCTCCCAAGCCTGTATTGAATATTATTTTTCAGGACTTTGCTCACTTTTAAAATTGGGATATTTTCTTACTATTGAGTTGTTTCAGTTCTTCATACATACTTAGATGTTAACTTCTATCAAATATACATTGCAAACATTTTCTGCCAAAACCTAGGCTGTTTCTTTATTCATCTGCTTTCCTTGGCTGTAAAGAAGCATTTTGGTGTGATGCAATCCCATTTACCTATTTTTACCCTTGTTACATGTACTTCTAGGGTCATTTCCAAGAAAGTTTGCCCACACTAATGTCAGGAAGGCTTTCTTTTGTTTTATTTTAATAGTTTTTGAGTTTTAAGTCTTAGATTCATGTTTCAAATCCAGTTTAAGTTGACTTTTGTGGATGAGGTGAGGTGAGGGTCCAGTTCAGTTCTTTTGCACGTGAATAACAAGTTGCTCTGACCCCATTTACAGAAGAAAGTTCAGCGGCTGTCACTGCGGGGCGTCTTGCTGCTTCCTCCATTCTGTCCCACTAAGTCTATACCCAGTTGTTGGTGGTCCACACGATGCTGTTTTGCTGTGTGTTATAGATTTTGATATCAGGTAATATGGTGATTCTGGTTCTGTTCTTCTGGTTGTAGTTACACTGGCTTTTGTGTTTTGTTTCTTTTCCTCTTTTTTTTTTTTT